GGCCGTTCTGCTGTATGGTAGTGAGACTTGGCCCCTTCGGTCTGAAGATCTGAGGCGCCTTCAAGTCTTTGATCATCGTTGTTTGCGAAGCATTGCTGGTGTCGGATGGCACCAGCGTGTCCGCAACGATGATGTGCGTAGGCGAGTACTAGGTGGTGATGATCATGCTAGCTCCCTAGAACAACAGCTAGCACTGAACAAGTTGCGTTGGCTCGGGCACGTGCTACGTATGCCTGGTCACCGCTTGCTTAGGAGGACCTTGTTCAGTCTACCAGGTGTAGGATGGCGCAAGGCTCGAGGTGGACAGAAGTTGACTTGGCAGCGGGAAATGAAGTCACTGACGGCCAAACTGGGTGCCGTTGGTCCGTCTCGCCTTTCGGGTTGGAGTCCACGTGACTCACCTTGTGCTTGGCTCGAGACTTTACAGGACATGGCTCGCAGTAGACACCAGTGGCGCGTCTGCTGCCGTCTCCTAATCAGATTGTCTGTTTAAAGTGTGTTTGGTGCTGAGTTATCTGCGGGGTAATGGCTGATTATGACGCGTGGCAGTGAAAGCCGCAAGGAAGCTGTCTCGCCGATGCCGCCTTATCTTTGCACGATAGCCAGCTGTTTGTGACGGTATGTTGTCTACACAAGGTGAAGGCGCCTTGACCCTGAATGTTTGCTTAGGGCATTAAAGTTTTCAGGTAAGTCCCCCTTCTCTCCCTCTTCTTATTCTTTATTTCATAGGTCCTCATGGTTGTATGGCAGCGAAGCATCAGTTCAAATGGCTGATGTACTGCTGTTGATGATGATGATGACCTGATGAGTCCGAACGAGGACGAAGCAGGCGGCTATGGATGTCAGTGTTGGGAGGAGCTACACAGAGTCGCCTCCATTAACGCCGTTTGTCTTTACGCTTGATTTGCGCCATTGAAATGAAACGTGCTCTTACAATCCTTGGTTGATGCCCTGTCCGTTTTCATAATCAGGGAACAACCACTATAAATTGTCGATTGATTTGCGTATCTGAGGAGATGTATCATCTCTAGTGGTCGCTTTACTTTGGTCACCGCACACATTGCTAAAGCTCATGCGGGTCTTCACAGTCTTTGTCACTTATAGCTGTATTATCGGATTAGTAAATGCTAATCCGAGGCGGAGCGAATAATCGAGCGCGGCTACAAAAAGGCGGGAAAATTGGATACAACGGACTGCGTTCGTTATTGGCTACAAAAAGACGTGTGTTGCGGTCCCCAAGATCACACCATGTCACTCTGATTGGCTGTTTTGAGCCCAGCTGCTTCAGTTCGCTAATCGAGAAAACGAGGCTTCGGTCATCACTTTGATCGCCGCAAATTACAGGACAATTACCGATATTTATATGATCTTGCTTTTCTTCCATTCCTTACTTATCAGTAATAGTATTCGGTTATCCGAAGATATTCTTCTGATCGACCAGTACGATCGTTCCCCTGTACTTCTCGAAAAATGCTGGATTTTCGTCGATATAGCCTTCACTGATCCATTCCTTCGGACTTAATCTTCTTAACAACATGGATCGATGAAGCGAGACAGGAGCGAACGTCAGCTCAGTACTTCACCTAGCTCATGAGTTCGATAGGATATGGACGAAGAGTGCGGTACCGTAAACAACAGCGAATATTGTGCAATCGAGTTGTAACACTATTGTATGTAAAAGATAAGCGTTATCTATTGGGGCGTTACAGTATGCTATTTAATGACAGGGGGAATGCTTTACATCGCTCTGGAACATTAAGATACTAGTGGTGCGTGACCATCGATCTTACGAAATATTGCTCATGTCTGGTTGGAGAATGGAGTAAGTAACCCGTCACGAATATATTGGCAACAAATCCTCGGGGGGGGGGGTTGTTTGATGCGACTCGTCTTCGTTAGCTCATTTATGTGCTGCACACGCCTTCAGACCGACTATCTGGATGTAATTTATACGGATAACACGCTTAGTCTGTTGAAACCCTGTGGCGTTTAGTCAGGGACATGGCAAGACATCATAAATAGCTTTCCGAAAGGTTCGGTGGGGTTGATGTCTATTGCCTACCTGGATGGGGCCCCTAGGTACATAAATAAACAAATAATTTATTCTCGACAATGCGAGTCACGCCTGCATAGGAATGATCCGATGATTGATAATTGTACAGAAATGTTGCAAAATTACCAGTAACATATTGGATCTATCTGCATATGTGTATATCAATGTATGCAGGTATGAATTCACATAGCTGTGTTCATTGAATGCGTTAATGTGGCCCTGCATTTGGGATTGTGTTCAGTCAGGTCGTCGACGTGAGCAGGGTTCAAGAGAAATCTTCAGCTTGGAGGACTGACATCCTGATAAGCGAGAGGCAGTGATTATTTGGTGGCGAGTCACATGAGCCACGTCACAGTGTTGTTAAACGGGCTTATGTGGCTTTTTGTAGTGAGAACGCGTGTCAGGCGGAAACCCGCCACGTCCTGGAACACAACCGCTGAACCACTCGTTTTAACGGGATCAACCCAAACCATCCAGGTAACCCAGCCGGACAATACCCTAAAGGTAACATGCTTGTCTTGCAATCTGACGGCGCGGGTTCGAGCCTGCGTAGGAACAGTTCGACCCTTGCAGTATTCTTAGCCCACGTGTGACCGGTGGTGGTTGCTTGGCAGCGAAGCGTTGGTATTACGTACTGGCGTACCCAGTTAGCGCCACGTGAAGGTTATGTGGCCACATCAGTGGTTGGATATTCTCTGCTTGATGATGCAGCCAAGAAATCAATGTCTGTTGTGTTTCTTCTGTTCCATATAACCCCTACGCACTCTCTACCTGATCACTTCACTCGAAACGTTACTATTATTAGTGACGAATTGGCGATCCAGGTCGAGGTAACTGCATCCACCCGGCACTTCAGTGTACGCACCTGTTAGGAGGGTGCCTACTGGGTATACATTTCTTGTCGCAATTCTTCGTTACCGGGTTTCCTCTCGCTATCGTTCGGTTATTGCCATTTGTTTAAACACATCATTTCGTTAATTTGATGGTCTTATTTCGCAGCCCGCCTAAGAGTTGTTTACCGCGACAAGCCATTGCTTGCAAAACGTTGCAAGTTAGTCTGCCATCGTTGGCCCGTTCAATGCTCGTTTATCAGTACTCGTGCTCCTGTGGTGCACGATACATAGGTCGCACAACGAGACGTCTCTCCCAGAGGATTCGCGAACACATCCCGGCGTGGTTTTACGAAGGCGAAATGAGGTCCTCAGACAGCTCAATCGTGTCGCACCTCCTCGAAAGTGGCCATACTGCATCTGAGAATGACTTAAAAGTCATCTACTCACTACCTGAACGCTTCTCGCAAGGCTTCCGAAAGCAAATCTTTTCTATTGCCGAGGCTATTTACATCCACCATCTGAAGCCGGAATTATGTGTACATAAACGATTCATACGGCCGATACTACTACCGTGGCCGACTAACATGCTTACTTAATTCCCTTCGTGACCTCTCTTATTTACTTTAGGTTGCTGAGGCTTGTGTATTAAGTTACCTTTGGTGCACTTTCTTGCGATCTGTAGCCGCATTTAGTCATCGATCTTGACCTTTTAAACACCTTAGAAATCAATCCCAGCCCGATTTGACGCTGACCTCACACAATCAATGTTATGTAAACGTTTGGGTCTGAATAGAGTTTACCGAAAAGAATTTTTAACCCTGAACTGATTTCTTGTCTTGATTCATCTGAACTTGATAATCGGTATACGTAGTTCGTAATGAACCTCATCTCAAGGCCCCATGTCCGCTGACACCGTTTTCACGAATACCCCTGATTGCTCCTCACTTTTACCGTTTTTCATTCGCCTGTGTCATTCGATGCCTCCGTAGTTGTTACTTGGCTCCAACCTGTTTTAATAGCTATACTTCAGCTACTACTTACCATATTTAACTGGAGCAGATTTCTCACCTATACGATTCTGACCTTGCTCGTCTGTGTTCTCATTGCGGTTCTGGGGTGCGAAGAGTCGGCGACGATACAGAAGCACCATAGTTGGTAAACTGAATGGAAAACCAATAATTATTACTCGGTGTGAGGGTTGAACGAGAGTAGTTCGTGATAAGCACGTTTATTGCATCCCTTTGGCAGCATCCATTTTATACGACCTGATAGTTGGTTTTCGTTCCGATGGATAGGCTATGCGTTGCGCATGCCAGCACACCGACTCCCGCTACGTGCGGTATTTGCGCGACGAGAGTGTGGATGGTAGAAGTGCGGTGGCCAACCGATGACTTAGTCGAAAGAAATGAAGGCCATCTTCGAAATTGGCTCTCAGTTAGAGCCTCTCCGCTTCTTGGTTAGGTCCCGTTAGACGACGAGCACCTTTGGCTGGATACACTTTTGATATGGTTAAGAACCGACCTCAGTGGCGTTTGTGTTGCGAGTTTGTTTGTCCTCCCCCCCTTCTCGCTTAGCCTCTCCTTCCATCCCCGATCTCTTTTACTGGCCATAATATAATTCTTTTTGCGACACAACAGTCGACTGCCAGCTCTTTGAGACGATGCCCATCTGTTACTGGTGACTCAGCCGGCGTACGTTTGTTGGATGTTATTTCTTATGTATTGCGGCACAACGGGTGGGATTTTTTCCACCTGTAGCCAACATGTATAATGAGGAGTGGATTTTCGTGCAGCCACTAATGTACATGAGAAGGGAAAGCATGTTACAAAATCCAACCTTTTTCGTTCTATTTCACTGCTAACTGAACGTTGCAAAGCACGACTATGAAAGTCGGCGGATGCTCACTACATTTTATAAATTTTTTTATTGTTATATCGCAATCCCACTTCAGTATACACGAGCCATGCTCTTAGGTATTTGGATCAGTGGCGCGCAGTTGTGTAACGTGTCATTAAACTAGGAGTCATCCTCGAATTCTTTTTCGGTTTTACTGCTCGCGTGGATTATCTCAGACCCGCTCCTCAATGCGCGGCGTGCTTTCCTTTTCCTTATAGTTATTCATGTTAAAGGAAATGACTCGTCTCTGGATTTGGTTCTCAACTCTAAGGAAGTAGCAGAACCCTACCTCACCGCAGTCATGGCCAACCCACCATTTTATTGTAACACTTCGGAGGCGATAGGCTTGATGACCAGTCGTTCAGTTGGGCGCCCTTCTGCCAAAACGGTCACCTCAGCTGCGAGGCACGAAAGCCAAACTCGCGGCGGTGAAGTGTTCTATTGCATGCGCTTGGCCCGAGACAGCGTGAAGTATGCTACTCGTGTTGGGTGAGTTTTGTCTTTCGTCCATTCGTTTTTTCTCATCTGTGTATGTCCTTCCCCTGATTCATTTAGTTGCTTCTATTCCTTCCAGTCCTCGTATTGCCATAAATTCGTTCATCTCATGTAAATATGCGCATCGATATTTATCTTATAAACGAAATACTCAGATGGGAAGAATTCAGGTAGACCTAAAACTGTTGTGCACCGTCAAATAGACCGTCTGCGGGAAGGATCGTGTGCATAATGCACCAATGGAATCGCAGCCAGTTATCTCACATTGCAATAAGAATCTTATGACAATTGTGTCCACTCAAGTCCACCGAAGACTTCAGCTGGGTAACCAATCGGGATGATCGACGGTTATTTACATTCAAAACGTATATAGAGACCAGCATTCATACAAAGCACCGCCTATTGCTTTTTTGTTGATGATGGGACGTCTGTAATCCAGTAGCCAAACTCGGTAAGCACATATAATTTGGGTTACCAGCTATTGGGGACCAGTTCGATCATCCGCTAGGAGGCGCACCACTGCCAAGACCCAGAAGGTCAAAACGCCAGTGTCTGGTGCTTTTCCAGACTAGCCTAAGCCTGCTGATTGAGTGACAATAATGAATTAGCTGACTTATACCAAAATCCTCACTACTCATCAGTAACATCTTCATTCATGTCTGACTTTATTGGCCTAGTCCTCAGCGATTAGTGGCAACAACAATGGCTCGATTTCTTCCACGGCTAATCACCACCACTCACCTGATGACTGACTTTTGGTATTCTGGCAGCACCTGGCCACTTTGTGGACGTGCGCAATCGGTCGATTTTTTATTTCGTTCCCATAAGTGACACCGTCTCCAAGCGACATCTGTTCCCATGTCCCTCTCTCGCCTTGGTTTCAGCGTATTCACGGTCATGCTAGGCAAAAAGAGCAGTGTTGTACCTATGAAACGAATCTTGCGCAAACTTGGTATCCCCCGGATGTCGGTATATGAACTCTGCCAGGGTCGAATTATGCGTTGGGGCTTGGCTTGGACTTTTCAGCCAAATGTCGAATTTCCGGTGCGTGCATCTTGTCTACAATTTTGTCGTTACATTTTATATTTCTCCGTTGAGATTGTCTTGTTTAAACCATACTTTCGCCCACTTTTGTGGATATGCGAGATCTGCTTCGGTAGTATGTATAACAACTTTCACACACCCATCATCACACACTGATCCAGCTTGATCAGTCGTTGGCCGCATTGTTTCGCATACAGCGGGGTGGATAAGCGAAAACATGCTACTGCTGGCGCCTCCTTCTTCTTCTTCCCCTGCACATACTCTCCCGTCCCCATTTCACCTAACCCACTACTTCCTCCAATCCAGGACGTCACCTATACGGTTGTCCGCCAATGCAATCATATACCTCCGTGCAGAGCGCCAAACATTGGGTGCTGGAACCTGCGCACTTTGCTCGACGGGAATACGAGTGCGCATCTCGAGCGACGCACGGCACTAGTCGCCATGGAACTGGCGCGCTACAACATCGATATTTCGATAATCTGTGAGACCCGGCTCGCTGAGCAGGGTAAGTTACATGAAGCTGGTGCTGGCTGTACATTTTATTGAGTAGGAAACGCCACCTCAGCACCACGTGAACATGGGATCGGGTTTGCAATATCCGATCACCTAAATTGTCATCTGTTGGGTGAGCATACAGGCATCAGCGTGCGACTGATGTCAGTTCGCCTACGACTCTGAAGAGGTGTGTTTGCCACTTTTATAGGCACGTACGGTCCGACCATGTGTTATCCTGATGACACGCGTGATCAATTCTACACTCATTTACCCGCAGTAATGCGGTCTGTGCCGAGGAGCAACCGACTATTTCTGTTGGGTGATTTCAACGCGCGCGTTGCGCGTGATGCATCGGTTTGGACAGATGCCGTCGGTCTGCATGGCATTGGTTCAGCGAATGCGAACGGCGACAGGCTGCTCTCAATATGTGCCACTCACGGCCTGGCGATCACGACCACTCGGGTTGCATTGAATGCGAGTGATGTAGCAACTTGGACGCAGCCACGGAGTGGTCACGCTCACCTGCTCGACTATGTCATCGTACGTCAGCGTGACATACGTGCAGTGCGCATGACAGGTGTATTGCGTGGAGCTGAGTGTGGCACTGATCACAAATTGGTGCGGACCAAACTGTACATATATCTTCGTAAATCTGTTTATTGCATTCCCGCGGTGAACCGGCGTACATTGATCATTCTCTCCCTCATTACTGTAGGGAGACGTATTGAGCTGGAGAAGGCGATAGTTGCATGCTTGTGTAATTTGGAATGCATAACCACGGTGGGCTACCTGTGGCATCACATTCGCGATCAGGTGACAGTTGTGCCAAGGGAACCATCGGTTGCGCAAACTGTAAGCGGCCTGGTTGGTTTGATGAGAACAGTGCGAGGATTGGCGCATTGGTGTGTGAGAAGAATTCAGCATTTGCTGGACATGTGGCAGACCCCAGTGACTCAGAGAAGAAGAGTCAATTTTGCAAACTTCGACAGCGACTGAATCGAGAGATCCGTTGCATTAAATATGAATGGTGGACGGCGAAGGCGAAGATGGTTGTTACGCCGAACGCCGCCAACACAATGAATTATTTGACTCCTTGAGTGAGTTTAGTAGGCGATGTGATTGCCCGAATCGTACTCGACCGCCTCGTCAGTCAAGTTGTGGAACCGAAGGTGGCAGAAGAGCATTGCGGATTCCCTTCGGGTCGTAGAACCATAGATATGGTGTTTGCGGCTCGTTAATTGCAGGAGAAGTGCATAGAACGACACCAACCGTCGTATTCGTTGTTTGTTGATTTCACCAAAGCATGTGATACTGTGAACCGCGAGGCATTGTGGCTGGTGTTGGGTAAGTTTGGTTGCCCGCGTAAGTTTGTAAGTTTAATTGAATGTCTGCACAGTGGTATGTGAGCGAGGGTGCAGCTGAGTGGAGAGATCTCGGATGACTTTGCAGTTGTCACTGGTGTGAAGCAAGGCTGTGCCTTAGCTCCTACCCTGTTTAATATATATCTTCATACAATGATGTCTTGTGCTTACGGTGTTCGTGTGGAGCACCGTATTGATGGTGGGTTGCTGAACATCCGTCGTTTCGGTGCGAGAACTCTAGTCTGTGAGACAACTATCCGTATATTACTGTTTGCTGACGACTGTGCGTTTGCGCATAGCGCGAATGAGTTGCAGCACATGATTAGTGCTCTGACTTTGACAGCGGCCAAATTCGGGCTCATCAGAAACAAGCAAAACTGTCTGTCTTTTTCAGCCTTCACCGGAGGTGAAATCTACCATGGTACCGCGAATTAGCATTGGTGACGAAGTATTGGAAACCACCTCCCGCTTCTGCTACCTTAGGGGTGTGGTTTCGACTGACCAGCAGCCACACAGTGAGCTGCGTATTCGCGTGTCGAAGGCAGCCTCGGCATTCGGGTTTCTTGCGTACCGTGTGTGGAACAATCATCAGCTTACCGTCAGCACTAAGTTGATGGTGTACAAATCCATGATGCTGTCCGTTCTTTTATACGGCAGTGAAACTTGGACGATGTAACGACGAGATGTGAGGTATATCGAGCGGTTTCATCAACAGTGTCCGATGGATTCTACGTATTGCTTTATGGAACTGGGTTACAGGCATGCTGGTGTTGCGCATGTAGGGAAACCGAAGCTTCGTTACCAGGACATAATCAAAGTGAGTCTCTCACGTTCTAATGTTTATTGCAGGTCATGGGAATCGAAGGTGGTTGATCGGCGTGCATAGCGCGATCTGATCACGAAGGCTGTTGCTGAAGTGCGGAAGAAAGACCTCATGCATGCAGAGAAGAAGCGATAATTGCGGAAGCGACAGGCACCGATGGGTTGTACTCCATCGACATCCAGCGCATGGTGCTGTAACACATGCGGTCGTAAGTGCCTGAGTCAGGCATACCTAGTGAGCCATGAGCTAGTCCACTTGGGACCAGCGTCGAAACGACGACGGATCCTACTGAGAACATAGGCAGAACCGGCGCAGCGTTTGTAGGTACGCTACATTCGATTTACTAACCACGCGCTTGTGTACTGAGTTCCTGTATTTCAAATGGTGGGTGTGCCATCGTGTCTCGATGCTTATATTTTTTTACCTCCTCTTAAACTTTACCTGAACTTGCACACCTTGCTTAAGCTAATTGTGGTTAATTTCGCTAACATTTTCGCTTTTGTGGCATTTTTAAATTGTATTCTTTTCAGATGTTTTCAACTTATTGCGGATTTGTTGGTAACCGATTTATTACATACGGTCATTCAGCGTAGATTTTTGTCAGCATTTCCGTATGTTTTATTCGTCATATGTTCTTTGTTATTCTCATTTCAAGTGATTGGTTGTTGCTTGATATCCCGGGTGTGGCTGCGCTTGATGTGCATGTTGACAAGGTGCCTACCCACTATTTCGTCTATACTGGCTCCAGTAGACACATGATTTGTGCAAGCAACGGGCGCTAGCGCAAGCCCTTCCCTGGATTATGGACGTCGTTTAGCTCGATCAAAGTCGTTGGCCAAGTTTTCCCTATCTCGTTGCCGGCCTTCGCGTTTTTTGTGTGTCTACCTGAATCTATGCAGCTGCACAATTATTGGAGCAGTGTAGGTTGTTATGACTCCATCGAACTCAATCTCGCTTTTATTAACATAGTGCTGCACGAACCGTCCAGCATTAGCAGCGAAGAGAAGGCGCATCTCCGAGTCAGCGACGGAGTAAGCGAACGTCAATGACGCAAGAAGAGATCCGTTTGTTCGTCGACGACAGAACCACTCCCGTAGCAGCTGAAATCGCCGATCTCAACGAGAGCATATGTGCAGGAAACAACAGAATGAAGCTGACCTCCAATGTCCTTCAGCCGCGCAACCACCACCAGTCGCACGTGGGCTAAAGATACTGCGTTGGTCGCCCGGTACCCTACACAGGCTCGAACCCCTTGATCCCAAGATTACAAGGCACGCTTGTGGTTCTTAAGGCCACGTCAAATGAATGTTGGGTCCGTGACTGTACGATGTAACAATATTGAGCCATGCTCAGGTTATCAACTTCGAGCTACACGTCAATGTCCAGGACAGTGCGAATGTGACAGGAAAGTTGAAACAACTAATATCCCCGATAGTACAACTCGTTTTACTAGGTGTGACAAGAGTAAACTTCAACTTCACCTGAAGTTGAAACAATGCCACCGTATGGATGAGTGAAAAGCAATCTGAGCCAAAATGCATGTCGTCCGTGAGAAATGTGAAAATAGAACACGTTTGAGGGTTGGGTCAAAGACTCTGGATTTAACTCCGGTGCACGCATGTTAAGCGATCCGGCACACCTCTTGCGATGTCGTCTTTGGACTTTGTCACCTTCTAGTACAAAACATATGCGGCCAGCTGATCCAGACCTATTAAAATTATCTTGCGCTTCTACGCCTTTGTGCCTCTGAAAGTCTTAGAAACCCATGCGGTTGCGCACACAGCAGCATTTTGACACACTGGAACACGGAGTTTCATCGTTTGGCTCCATACGGTTCAGATCCACTACGCTGCTAGGGCAATCTCGGCACTTGTAGACACGGTTGCTACGACAATACTAGAACCTCAGAGATACCAACTATCACTGATGCCTATGTGGTTTTCATCCCTTTTCAATAAGAAATTCGAAAAGCAGTGGGTTGCTTACAACGTGCTGCACCATGAAGCCAAAAAGTTGTTTCCATGCGATGGGATAGATTGGAACGATCCCGAGCAACTGGTGTACCGAGCGTAGCGAGAACCAACATAATGACATCGAGTTGAAATCAGCCCATCGTGTGGCTTCTTGGACGTAGTGATGCAAATTCTCAAAGTGCAGTTGAACCGGAAATCATGCTTTAGGTGTAGGAATCATCGTTTTTCGGGAATCCGCATATACCTTGGACAGGAGACGATCGGACCGGTTCAGAGTTAAGCGATGGCACTATGCGAACTCCATAAGCTGCAAGCGCGACTTCACATATGGGAGACCGCAGATAC